AAAACAGAATATTCAGTAAATGATGCTGGGAAAAACTGATTACCCATATGGAAAAAAAAGAAACTAGACCCCCACTTCACAACACACAAAAATGAATTCTACATGGATTAAGAAAACAAATATGAAAGGTTTCTTAGCTTTCTGAGTGGGAAAAAAGTAAATAAATGAAAAATTTTTTAAAGGCAAATACGAAAGGCAACCTTTTTAATAGACTTTTTTAGAGTCATCTTAGAATGACAGCAAAATTGAGAAGGTACAGAGATTTCCCATATATTCCCCTGCTTTTAGCAGAAAATATCAGACCATAAAAGAAAAAGGTTGACAGAGTCAACTACATTAAACTATGTTTTTGTCAAAAGACACCATAAAAAAGTAAAAAACAAGCCGCTCACTTTGAGAAAAAGAAATGTGTCACATGCATAATTGACAAAGGATGAGTATCCAGAATATATAAAGAACTTCTAGAAATGAATTTTTAAAAGACAAAAAAAAAAAAATAGAAAATAGGCAAAAGACATAAGGAGACACCCACAGAAGAGTAACTATGAAAGATTCAACATCATCAGTAATTAAGGAAATGTAAATTAAAACCCCAGTGGGATACTATTTCTCAACCACCAGATTCTCAAAAAGAAAAAATTCAGGTAATTACAAACATACAAATGTCTTAAATAGTGTTGAGAAAGGGAACAAAGTGAACACTTACACACTGCTTGTATAAACTGGTACAGCCACTTTATAAAACAATTCAGTATTTTCTAGCAAAACTGAAGATCCACAACTCTACTCCTAGGTTTTAAAAAACCTGGGAAATTTGTAAACATGAACACAAAGAGATATGGATTAGAATGGTCATAACAAAACAGCTTTTAATGGCAAAAAGCAAAAATTAAATTAAAAAAAAAAAAAAAGACTGAAAACATCCTAAATATCCATCAGCAGGATGACGGATAAACAGTAGTAAAGTCACACAATGGAATGATGTACATCAATAAAAAATAAACGAACTATAACACACATCGACATGAAGGAATCTCACAAATATAATGTCCAAAATAAAGTCACACAAATCATATAGTATAATATCACTTACACAGCATTCCAAAGTAGACTAAACAATACAATGTTCAGGAATGTGTACGTATGTGGTTAAACTACACAGAAAATCAAGGAAGAGTGGAAAGAGAAGGATATAATCAGGCAGAATACATAGGTTAGTGTCAAAATTATTGATTATGTATTATTTCTTAAGCATGATATGGGTATGGGGTATTTATTTTATTTGTATTCTTTAAATCTGTAAATGTGTCAAAAGTACTATTTTGGACATATGGAATAATTTCTCACTTAAAAATTAAGTAAATACATGGTTGTAGTACAAAATACGAAAAATACAGAAACATATACGAAGAAAATAAAAATTATCCATAATCCCATTGCCCTGAGATAACTATAGTATTTGAAGAAGGTAAATATACTTAAAAGATATGCTTCCTTCCACTCTGTTTTTATTTAATCCTTTTTTTTTTTTTTTTTTTTTTT